TTTTTTTTTCCAAATGACGTGGCACATTTGTTTCAAAAATGTAATGTGAGCAAAGGTTTGCCGACTCTGCCCTATTACAGTATAAAAGCTCTTCAAACAGTATGTGATGTCATTTATTTCCAGAAGAGGGCAGCAGAGGACACAGAGCGCTTGCCATTCATCACGTGACTTGGGCCTGCTACATGCTGCACAGCACAACAATGTTACAATGCGCTTCCCATACCTCTCGGTTTCCTTTACTCTGCGCTCGATTAGAAGCACCTTAACCAATTTTTTGTCTTTCATGCAGCTCAAGTGAAGGGTAAGGAACATCTGTGTGTAGCCATGGAGCGCAGCTGCCCTCAGCGTGATGGCGCTCCGAGACCAAGAGGCACATTGAAAGAGATCCGGGTCAACTTGCTTGAGTGTAAAGTCTGCTTCGAGAAGTTCAACGCTCAGCGGGCCGAGCGAAGGCCGCAGAACCTGTCGTGCGGTCACGTCCTGTGTGCGGAATGTGTGGAGGCCCTGTCCCGCCCTCTCCTGAGGAAGCTGGAGTGCCCCTTCTGTCGGCAGCTGTGCCCTGTGGACGCCACCTCCCACTGCCAGCCTCTTTGTGACCTGCAGGAGCTGCTCTCATCCAGTCCTGCCTCTCTTTGCATGGAGAAAAAAGATGAAGAAGAAGCCCCAAGTGTGAGTGGCACAGCCTTACACTTGTGTTTGACTTTTGGCGGGTGGGGGACGCTTATCAATCCTACTGGAGTGGCGGTGATGCAGTCCTCGGGGACTGTGTTTGTGGTGCATGAAGGTGAGAAGAGCGTGATGGTATTCACTTCTCAGGGGAAGAAGCGGCACGCTTTTGGGCAAAGAGGACATGCCGGCGAGGACCTTTGTTACCCAGTGGATGTGGCAGTGACCCCCTGCGGTCATGTGGTGGTGACCGACGCGGGAGATAAGGCCGTCAAAGTTTTCACGTCTAGGGGAAACCATGTGATCACGATGAAGGCCGGCTTCCGCATGCCGTGGGGGGTGGACACGGACAGTGGCGGGCGCATCCTGGTGTCGGACGTCCAGGCGGGAACACTGTCCCGCTTTAAGGTGGACTACAAACATGGTGTCACGCTGGAGGAAGGAGTGGTGGCTTCACACCTGGAGAATCCTAAAGCCGTGGCCTGCTGCAGGACCAGCGGTCACATGGCGGTGATAGAGCATGTGAACGACGACACAGACTCCGCAAGGAAGCAAAGTTACTCCAGACTGACTGTGTTCACTCCAGACCTTCATATCCTCTATCAGACCGACAATTTAAGTCTGAACCTGAAGGCCTCTGTTACAATAAACATGTCCGCTGTGACGTTTGACAGAAAGGGACACCCGCTTGTGGTCGACTCACTTCAAGGGATGATTTGGACTTTTGGGGGCGTGCAAAGCGGTGCTGTCCTCACTCCTCTTGTGGCAGAGAACCTCATTCGACCTGTTGGACTGGTGCCACTTAACAACACTCTTATCATTGTGGACGCGGGAGACCAC